AAACAGTCACTCCCCATTCCCACCGCCCCCAGCTCCTGGTAACCACAGATCTGCTTTTGGTCTCTATGGATTCGCCTATTCTGGACATTTTCTGTCATTGGAATCACATACTATGTGGCCTTCTGTGTCTGGATTCTTTTAGTTAGCAGAATGTTTTCAAGGTTAATCCATGTTGTAGCATGTGTTAAAACTTCATATCCTGTTTTGTTTTGTTTTTTTGAGACAGAGTCTCACTCTGTTGCCTAGGCTGGAGTGCAGTGGTACGATCTCTGCTCACTGCAACTTCCACTTCCCAGGTTCATGCAATTCTTATGCCGCAGCCACCCAAGTAGCTGTGATTACAGGTGCCCGCCACCACATCCAACTAATTTTTGTATTTTTAGTAGAGGGGTGGTTTCACCATGTTGGCCAGGCTGGTCTTGAACTCCTGATCTCAAGTGATCCGCCCACCATGGCCTCCCAGAGTGCTGGGATTACAGGCGTGAGCCCCCGCACCCAGCCAACTTCATTTCCTTTTATCACTGAATAATACTTGGTTGTGTGACTATGACACAGTTGTTTATCCATTCCTCCACTGGTGAATGTTTGTGTTGTTTCTACCTTTTGGCTGTTGTGGATAGTAGTGCTGTGAACACTTGTGTACAAGGTCTTGTGTGAATACCTGTTTTCAATGTTTTCTATACCTAGGAATTGCTGGGTCATATGGTAATTCTATGTTTAATTTTTTTTTCTCTTTTTAGGTGGAATTTCACACTGTCACCAGGCTGGAGTGCAGTGGCGCCATCTCAGCTCATTGCAACCTCCACCTCCTGGTTCAAGTGATTCTCCTACCTCAGCCTCCTGAGTAGCTGGGATTACAGGCACGTGCCACCATGCCCAGCTAATTTTTGTATTTTTAGTAGAGACGGGGTTTCACCACATTGGCCAAGATGGTCTCGATCTGTTGACCTTGTGATACACCTGCCTCGGCCTCCCAAAGTGCTGGGATTACAGGCGTTGAGTCACCACACTCAACAAACACTGACATTGTTTGTGTCTTGGCCAACTGTTTTGCAGAATGTCCCTCAATTTGGATTTATTTGGTTATTCCTCATAGTTAGGTTCAGATTATACATTTTGACAGGAATATTACATAGATACTGCTATGCCCATCTCACTATATCACGTGAGGAGGCAAAACCCATTAACTTTTATTACAGAAATAAGGAACAATTTTACTAAGAGATGTGGTTGCTGGACACATGTCTCATAAAACAATGCAGGCAATACTCTAAATAAATTGTTTCCTACTTTTCCATAATAGTTGCTACTTGTCCTCTTTCGTTTGCCTTTTGTTAGCACCTGCAGGCAGATAAGCAGCTGCAGGTACTAATGTTCTTGGAGAAAGGAGAAAACGAAGAAAATTCTCTTATCTTGACATTTTTTCTTGCAGATTGTGAAAAAAGAGTCATGATTTGATGATTAAGAGGAAAAACCCTTATTCTAGCCCATAGGACAGTACTTCAGGGCCATCAGTAATAAGAGAGGAAGGTTGGAGGACCTCAACTTGAGTTCCTGAACAAAGGTTGTTCTCCTGGCTCTTATGCCCAAATGCCAATAATTACAGGCAAATTAGCTCCCAGAGTCCATCTCTACTGGATTATATTTAAGACCAAGGTAGGGCAGGGCATGGTGGCTCATGCCTGTAATTCTACCACTTTGGGAGGCTGAAGGGGGAAAATAGCTTGAGGCCAGGATTTGAAGACCAGCCTAGGCAACATAGTGAGACCAGTCTCTAAAAAAAAAATTTGCTGGGCATGGCGATGCATGCCTGTAGTCTGAGCTACTCAACAGGGTGAGGTAGGAGAATTGCTTGAGCCCAGGCAGTCGAGGCTGTAGTGAGCTGTGATCCCATCAGTGCCCTCCAGCCTGGGTTAAAGAGCAAGACCATGTCTCTAAACAAACAAATGAACAAATAAATACATAAATAAAAAGTTTAAAAGACCAAGGTGATTTGACAAGCCTTGAGGAGCACAGCTAGGGAAGGCCCCCGGAGACAACAGTGGGGCTCTGTTCCTGGGATAGACAGGAAATTTCTCCACAAAGTAAAAAATATCAAGCCACTAATAATGATTGTCTCTTGCTTAGCTTTTGTTCTTTTCTCTTTAATTTTCTTCCTTTGTTTTTTTGTCTTCCTTCATTATGATGGGAATGTGAGCAAACGGGGCTGAGCAAAGGCTGGCCCTTCCCTAGCTCAGTCCCGGTCTGCTTACCACCCTCTTTCCTCCTCCCTGGAGGAGCACTCAGCCTCACTCTCTACATCCACCCCAAGCAGGTGACCTCTAGGAGCATTTACAGGGACAGTAGTGGCAGTACCTTTTGTTGAGTGCTAAGGACCAGGTGCTGGGCTAAACATTGTCTCCTTTAATTCTGACCACAAACCTAAGAGGTTGTTAGGATCTCATTTTATAGAGCTGCTGTTCAGAGAGTTCCAGCAACTTTCCCTACTTCACTTGGCTAGTGTGTGGCTGAAGTGGGACTGGAACCTAGGTCTTGATGACCCAAAGCCTTATGAGCTCAGCCACTTGGCTGCCTTCTTATCTCTGCCTCCCAGCACCCCCAGAATCTTGTGTGTTCACCTCAGCCATCATGGGAGGTGAGAAGCAGCGGACTGTGGTTCCCTTTGGGGAGTAGCTGATAATCTCCAAACGGGCTGGGGCTCAGGCAGGGGAAGGAAGATAGCAGCTGGCAGGGTTGGGGGGTTGGGGGACAGGGTGCCAGCTGGTTCCAGGAGGCGGCTCAGAGGGAAGTCTTTGGAACAGCACTCTGAAAAGGGAAGGCACAGTGTTGGCACAAGGAGGCCCCCCCCACTGGCACAGCCTCCAAGGAAAGCCCTAGCCTTGTCTGTCTTCCATAGTCCGAAGTCCAGGCTGCAAGAAGCACTGGAGCCCCAATGTCTCAGGGTCCACGCATCCTCCATAGAATCTCTTTCCCTCCTCTTTTGAAGGTGATGGTGGGGACAGCTGAAGGTAGAGTGGTTCCCTGTGTGGCAATCAAAACCCTGTTTCTGCTCAGAGGGAAGTGGGCAAGGCAGTGGTCTTTACCTCTGGTTTCTCAGTCCTCCCTCCCCTTATATCTGGATGAAATAAAGGAACTTTCAGCCTGCTGGTCTCAGAGCAGGGCCACCTCTCTCCCTGCCCACGGTCTTTCTGTGGTCCCCATGGCGCTGCTGTCTTGGGTGTCTGAGGTGGCAGCTGTCCATGTGAGGCTGGCTCTCAGCACTCTCCCTCTGGATTGGGAGGCACTGTCCCTCTGGAGTGGAGGAGTCCACAGGGCTCCTTCCACACCAGTGTCTGGGGCCAGGCCTTTGGCATTTCCTCAGGCCATGGCTGGCTTAGTTCTTCGGAGGTTAAGAAAGGAAGGGAGGTCTGCAATCGCAGTAAATAAACATTCCAACTCACAGCCCCGGAGGGACTGGCCCAGCACTAGCATCCTACCAAGATCTGAGAGGCACTCTGTGTTTTCTCTGCTTCTTTTTAAGGCTGCTTGAACTCTATGGTTTTTCTACTTGGTACGAGGCAAACAGAACTGCTGCGGAGTTAAGGAGGTGTGCATGTGACCTGCGTAGCAAAGCAGATGGTTCTCATCTTCTTTTCCCTTATTCTGTAATTTTTGTTGTTTTTATAAAAAGCATCTAATTACCCTCAGTTATTGAAGCCAGCCAATTCTATGGGAAAGACAGGGGAGAGGAAGGTTGTAGGCTCTGCCTCCTAGTGTATTTGGAAGTATAGGAGGAAGGGACTGGATGGCAGAAAGGGCTTCCGTCACTTAGAAGAGGTTTTTGCCTAGCTTGATGCCTGGTTACTTCCTCATGGTTTTTGAGCCAGACAAAAAGAGATGGTGCTGTGAGTGGTCTGGGGTGATTCTGAGTGTCCAAGGACTCCAAAACAGTAGTCCTGGATGGGAGAGTGGATTTGTTGAAGAAGATGTCCCACCAGTGGCTTGGATCAGCCTAGGGAAGACCTGGACAGGGGTCCATATATGGAGCAGTGGAAGTGAGAAAAGTGGAGTATACATGGCTCTGAGGAGGGGATGGCCGCCATGTTTCCGACCTGGCTTGAGGGAGGGGTTGCCAGGCCACCAGACCCAACACAGAGGAGAACACAGCTGGGTGCCTCATCACCAAGCGTGCTCAAAGACCCCAGGTTGAGCCGCACCTTGACAGGCCAGGGTCCATAAGGAGGGAGGACAGGCATCATGCCTCTATCCCATGGGGTTTGCTCTCTTACTCACCATCCAATAAACATTCAATAATTGCCCAATTTCTGCCAAACACAGCTGGGCACCAGGAATCCAGAAGTGAATAGGGCTGTGCCCACCCTTGAGAGCCCAAAGTCTAGAGAGGGAGATGGAGAAATGAACACAATTGCAGCACAGGTAAGGGATGTGACAATCGAAGTATACAGAAGGTGCCACAGGAGCCCCAAGGTATGGCTGCCAAGGAAACCTGGGCTGAAACACAGTGGGTAGAGGTCTGAGCTTCTGGGCTCCGCCTGACTCAAAAGCCAGCCAACTGCTGCCCTGAGTGGGAGAAGGACCAGTGAGGAAGGAGGTGGGCGGCACCAAATATTCCTGACAACACATGGCCAAGCTGATACAGCAGGCACCCTCTGCACAGAGCTGTCCTGCAGAGGGAGGTGAGGAGACGCAGCTGCTCTGTAGTCACCCGACCTGATACAAATACAACATCTCGGATCTTAGAGCAACTACTCCAGGCCATGGAATCCTAACAGTCGGTAACCCAGCAACACAATTCTGGGAAGAAAATCAGAACTCCCAGATCAAAGGGGAAGTGAGATTTGAAACATGAACAGTACGAACAGGTCCCAGTCCCCCAACATCCATTAGCTTTCTGAGTCAGACTCCAAATGCCCCAAGAGTCAGGGCTTCTGGAGCAACAGCAGAGGTGGCCACCATCACCACCAGCACCACTGAGTGTGAGCCCAGAGGATGCCAGATACCTTCTAGTGGGTTCCAGGCATAGACACAAACACCACTGCCGTACGGCAACTCCAGAAGCTGGCCAGAGCATGCACTCTACTCGCAAAGGGTGTGGGCTGACCATCATCTCATCCAAAAGTGCTTCCCAGGCAGAAGAGGGGAATTCGGTTAGGATGGTGGAAGTCTACAAAAAAGAAAGCATGGGAACCAGTGTCTGTAGAGGGGCTGGAAGAAAGATGGCCCCCTGATCTGGGGAAGCAGCCTTTTCTCCCCAGAGGCCCTTGTATGGAATATACCTGTGCAGCACTGGGTCTGGGGGAGAAGGGACATTCAATAACAGGGGTAAAGTACTGTCCCTTAGGAAGTGCAGTCAGGACACAGGGAGAGTCATCCTTCGATCCAGCTCCAGGTCTTAAAGAAAGAAAACAGTCCGCAAAATGATTCATTCATCTTTAAATAGTTCACTGAGGCAGACATTTTTTCTCCTTTAGAGGAGAAAGATTAAGGTCAGAGAGATGGATACATTGGCTTAAGGTCACACAGTAAGTTGGTGCCAAAATGACGCTGGGCCTCTTGTCCTTCAGTGTGCTATTTCTAGAGCCTCTGATTTTTATGAGTCTACTGTAGGACCAAGAAGGGGTTCTGTTCTAATTTGGGGTGGTGCTAGCTTGGCTAGCCAGGTCTTGTGACCTTGAATGAAGCATTTTTTACCAAGGTAAATGGGTCTGTCGAGCCAAACTCTCTCCTGGCTGAGATCTCTCAAAGACATTTGGCTATTAAAAGGAGGGTAGGGTGGAGGCAGGCGGTAGGGAAGCTCAAAAAAAAAAAGATGACCAGAACACAAGTGTAACAGATGCACCCAGCTGTTGTCACTGGTGAGCGCAGACAAGGGTGGGATGCCGATGGCTCCAAGGGAGACAGTCTTGGCAGATACAGGAGGCCAGAGTGATGACCTAAAGTCCCTGAGATGCTAGTGCTGACTCCAAGGATGGCATGTCACTGGCCTTTCACACTCAGTGAGCACAGAGACTTGACTGGTGCTTGCCCCTAGGTGGGGAGTCCCTTAGAACATCCCCCAGCACTGGCAGAGTGATAAGGGATTTTCTTCTGTTCTTCCCTAACCTCCAGCTGAAGCAGAACGTAGACCATGGGAACTTGGGTTGACTGGTAAACTACTCATACTGCCAGTACCCCAGCTACAGCAGCAGCCATCCATGCCGAGGACTTCCCCTAGAGGCACTGTGGTTCAGTAGAAAGGTCACCAGACCAAGCCTGCTAACTAGCTGTTGGACCTTGGACAAAAGGTTTAACATCTCTGTGCTTTCATTTTCTACATTTTATGTACATAAACGCAGATGCTGGACAAGATGTCTTCTAAAAATTTTTTCCAGTTCTGAAACTGAGCATTTGATAGGAGCCCAAGTTTCATTTTCCCCAGGAGTATGATGGCTGAGTGCGCTGTCATCACCACCCTCTGAGGTTTCTCTCATTTGTCCCAACAGGCCAGCACTATGTGCTTTGTGTCTGCACTTCACCCCACAGGCTTTGTGAAACCCTTATGGCAAATGGCTTAGATGTCTGTTCTGCTCCCTCTGCTAGGAAACATATTTTAGACTCAGTTCTTCCCTCCTGCAAGTCTGAACTTTAGGTTTCCTTCTGAAGTGGGCAAGGATGATGGGCTCCAGAGGCAGCAGCTCTGGTGTGGTAGGAGCCAGAAGAGGAGGTGAATGAGGGAAGGACGTCCCTATGTTCTCACACCCCAGGAACTCCAGGACTCTGGACACAAAACGGGGTCGAGCTAGCATTGCATGATCTGGTTCAGCTCAATTCTCAGCTTCAGCAGTCTTTCTGCCACCCCTGATCACACTGGGTTGGATTTGTGGGGGAGGGAGCTAAGGCCTGCAGACATGAACATACATGCTTAGTAGGTTGGTCGAGTCAACAATGAATGGCAGAGTGAGATAGGAATCCAGGTGTCCAGAGTCCCAACCCATTACTTCTTCTACTTCCCCCGCTCCAACCAGAAGATTCTGAAAGGACCCCTGGCTTTCCAGCCTAACACGAGGTCCTGTTTAAAGACACTGATGACTGTCAGGTTCCAGGGGTGAAGTCTGGTCCTGAGAAGGTTGGTGGGGAGGGGGACAAAGTTTGGGGCAGTGCTGGGATGCGAAAGACATCTGAACCTGGAGGCCAGACTTTGGGGGAGTGGGTGGTAGGCGGGGGTAGATGAGGCCTGCAAAAGGAAGAGATGAGGCCCATAACCCGACCTCTCTGAGGTGGTGGGGAGAGAGGTACGGGTTTTTCCTTCCTCTTCTTTCTTTGCCAGCTGGGCCTCTACCCACAAGCCTGAAAGTTACCCCCCACCCCCAACCCCCATCATAAATGTGCCAGTGGGTTTGCCTTGAGCCAACGGGCTCCCTCAAACCCAGCTTGCTAGCCTGGCACAGACCCTCCTCCGATGCCGGGAGAATAGCCATCGGTCTTCACTGATTCCCTGGCATACCCTCATCCCTCCAACGCCCCCTGCAGACGAGGTGCCCGTGTGCTGTCCCCTCCCCAGGATGAACTCCCCCAAAGTGCCGTCAGCCCAGAAAACTCGGCAGTGCGGATCCCGCGCGCGGGTACCCCGGGGCGCCCCTCCGCCCCGCGGGGGGACCCCGCCGCCCAAATGCCCTCGACCCCGAGACTCACCCAGAAGAGCATGTTGAAGAAGAAGAGCAGGTATTTCACCAGCGGGCTGACGAAGGAGAACTCCTCCCCGGAGGCTGCCGGCGCCCCGGGTCTCCGCGCCATGGCCCCGCCACCGCCGCCCCCGGGGGCCTATCTTCCAGCGGCGGCCGACCGGCCTGTGCGCCCCGCGCCCGGGGGCATGAGCCGCGCCGCGCAGGTGCCCGGCCGGCGGGGGAGCTGCGCCGCGGCCGGAGGCGCCCTAGCCGGGGGTCCGGGAGCAGCGCGGGCTGGCGAACCACGCCTGGAGCCGCCGGAGCCGCGGTGGGCAGCGCGAGCGACCGAGACTCCGCGGCGGCCGCAGGACCAGCCCGGCCAGCCCGGCGCCCAGGAAACCCGGCCCGCCCCCGGCCGCCCATTGGCGCGGCGGCTGGAGCCCGACTTCCCATTGGCTCATGGCTGATGTCACTAAGTATCCAGACATCCCTCTCCACCGAGAGTCGGGGGAGACACCTGTTCTGTGAGGGACAACTTGTTAAAGGGTCAGCGGTTCTGCCTCCCCCCTTCCCCGAAGGGAAAACATCCAGGCTGCAGCTGCTCAAAGGAACAAGAATGAGGAGAAGGAATGCACCGTGCATCCCACACCCACGTCCTCTGCCCAGTTGCTGTGCACATATGCAAACACACATACATTAAAATCAACAAGTACGCACACCGTGTGTTAAGCAATGCGCCGAAAGCTCTGGGAAAACGAGAGAACAGAAACAATCCCCGGGGGATGACAATAAAATCAGGGAGACAAAACTAACCTACATATAATAATTAGACTAAGAGTAGATGTGATCCTTTTTAGTAATTACGTATTTTAAACGCTTATTTCAAAAGCTCTATAACCCAACAGTGGAAATTTGGAAACATCACCGCCAATCCTGCCGTCCTTTCATTGCTGTGTCAATTCCCGCCCCCGCAGTCTCTCTTCCCCTTGGTCTACTTGCACACACCGTTTTAAACATGCTGATCCGGCACCCACAGGTTGAGTGCAGTCTTGCTGGTGAATATACTGTGCTGGCTACCCTAAGTAATACAAACGTGAACCTCGGGGAAGGATCTGATTCCACCATCATTAGCTGCCTGAAAGCTGGAAGCTACTTAATCTCTCGGAGCCTCAGTTTGTTTAATGTTAAATGGGAGAGTCCTGACCTATCCATGTGAGGATTAAATGAGATAATGGATGCTTAGCTCACTTAGCACATGACTGGCACATGGAAAGGCTCATCAAAGGCAGTACAGTATTTCATTTTAGCAGAATTTAGAATCTAGTGTAGAAATATAACTGCACAAATAATTATAATACATGTGGTAAAGGGTTAGTGAAAATATCGTGGCAAGTGAAATTAGGGGAGGATGGGGTTTAGAATAGCAGAGATGGAGGGGAAACATAATCCAGGTGGATTTTAAAAAAGAGTGAACCAAAGTTTGGAAGTGCAGAAGCATGCCATGTGTTTTGTGCAAAATAAGCAGACTGCTATGGCTGGAGCACAGAGTATGCTTGTAATAGCAGTGAGAGATAATGCTGACCGATGCCGACACATGTTGAATTGTGTTAAAATTGTGGAAGTACTTGAATATCAGATTGAGGAGTTAGTGTTTAAATGATTTAGAAATAAGAGTTTTGAAGAAAGGGATGATGGAAAACCCACTGTTTTCAGTTAGAGTGGGAAAGAGGCTGGAGAGAGAAAGACTTGTTAGAAGCATGCTACTCGTCATCCAGATAATCAGAAATCACGAACTGATTTAGGAGTAATAGAATAATAGAAGGTTAAGAGAGGAGAGAAGGGAAGCCTCTGGCAAGATAGACTCTTGAGAGCTAGGCTGTGGTGAGGAGCAGGCAAAAAAGGAGCACTAAGAGTGAAGGTTAAAGATGGCAGTCACAGCCAGGTTATTGGGTGATTACTGGCTGTTAACAGGTTAAGTGATACTTGGAGATCAGTTTTAGTATGAAGAGGGTAGGGTGGATAGAGATCATCTTACAAGAAGTTAACGAGTGAATGGGTAGGTGCCCATTTTCAGATGTTAGAGCAGGGAGGATAGAGAAATAGACCAAGATGCTGAATGTTTCTATTAGATGATCTTCCAGAAATTAGGTTTTTGTTTTGTTTTGTTTTTTCGAGATGGAGTCTCACTCTGTCACCCAGGATGGAGTGCAGTGATGCGATCTTAGCTCACTGCAACATCCACCTCCCAGGTTCAAGCAGTTCTCCTGCCTCAGCCTCCCAAGAAGCTGGGATTACAGGTGTCTGCCACCATGCCTGGCTAATTTTTGTATGTTTAGTAGAGATGAGGTTTTGCCATGTTGGCCAGGCTGGTCTGACCTCAAGTGATCCACCTGCCTCAGTCTCCCAAAGTGCTGGGATTGCAGGCTTGAGCCACTGCCCCCGGGCAAGAGATCATTTTAAACTGAGACAGGAAGAAGAAGGAAGATCACAAAGTGTCAAGGAAGGAATGAATGGTGAAATGGACGTTGGAAACAAAGACTGTGGATGTCTCTCACTGGAGCTTTGAAGGTTATGGGAGCCTTAAGGGACCTCAGAATAAAGAGAAATTTCTCTTTTCACGTATAAGAGACCTGACATGTTTGTAGGAAAACAAACAAACAAACAAGAAACAGTAAAAAGGGATTAAGGTGGATAATGGCCGGAATGAGGTTTTGGAATTAACAGGTAGAGATGGGATCAGGATTTAAAATGATGACCACAATGTCCCTCAAGTGGAAGTCATGGACGCCACCCATGAAGTAGGAAGCCACGCAAATATAGAATAAAGAATTAGGAAACGCTCTATGCACTGAGCTGGAATAATCTCCAAGTTAAGTCATTAAGTTTAAAAAGCAAAATGAGGGACAGTGGATATGATATATTACCTTCCGGTTAAAGAGAAAGAGAAAGAACAAAAATAAGGAATGACATTTGTATTTGCTTCCCCCTGCCTAAATAAACTCTGGAAGGAAATGTAAGACATCAAGTAAGAAAGGAGGTTACATACTGGGATGGTGATGAGACCTAAAAAGAGAAGAGAGAGATTTCACTGTGTGCCATTTTATTCTTTCTGGTTTTTGAAGCATAGAGTGTATTTAATGATTCAAACTGAAAAAAATCACACAAATTGAAAAGTTGAAAAGAATTTAAAAATTGAAAAAATATAGTTTTACTATGGAATGCTATGCAGTCATTTAAAATAACATAGAAAATGTATGTACTGACTTGCAAAAAGGTCCATGACATAGGAGGTGCAAAGATCAGATTGTAGAATTAAGCATATAGAGTATCTGATAATCAGTGAATAGTTTCAACTTATTTTGGGTCCTTGGAGAAGGTATTTCAGTTCTTTGAAATATATAATGTTGCCATTTAAAATGGAATTCAAGACCGGGTGCGGTGGCCCATGCCTGTAATCCCAGCACTTTGGGAGGCTGAGGCAGGTGGCTCACTTGAGGCCAGGAGTTTGAGATCAGCCTGGCCAACACAGCAAAACTCTGTCTCTACTAAACATACAAAAATTAGCTGGACGTGGTGGCACGTGCCTGTAATTCCAGCTACTTGGGAGGCTGAGGCATGGGAACCACTTGAACTCAGGAGGTGGAGCTTGCCGTGAGCCAAGATTGCACCACTGCACTCCGGCCTGGGGCACAGAAATTCTGTCTCCAAAAAAAACAAAAAACAAAAAAAAAGAAAACAAACAAACAAAAATGGAACTCAAAAAGATTATGTAATAGTATGTAAGATTTTAACAATATAAGCACATTCACAGTAAGAAATATGGGCAAATTTCAACAGAGATGAAAAAATATAAAAGTAAAATCAGCTGCGTTGTTGTGATGGGATGTGTAGCAATTTCTAACTTAAAAATATAGTTAATATTATCACATATAAATATGAAGAGAATTAAAACATTTGAATGATATCTCTGTAAAGAAAGAGGGTCATGTTTCTGGAGCTAACATTGGCAAGAAGCCATGTGAAGAGAGGAGCAGTGACAGGGGAGTTCTGGGTAGTGCAAGGCAGTAGACCCGACGAAAGACAGGTCAGCAGCAGTGATGGCCCAGGTGGAGTAGCTGATGACTATGGTAATCCCAGTTAGCCAGCCTGATGATTTCCTTCAAAAAGCATGTACTAGGCCAGGCGCAGTGGCTCACACCTGTAATCCCAGAACTTTGGGAGGCTGAGGTGAGCGGATCACAAGGTCAGGAGTTCGAGACTAGCCTCACCAACATGGTGAAACCCATCTCTACTAAAAATACAAAAATTAGCTGGGCATGGCAGTGTGTGCCTGTAATCCCAGCTACTTAGGAGGCTGATGCAGGAGAATCACTTGAACCTGGGAGGGGGAGGTTACAGTGAGCCAAGATCTCACCACTGCACTCCAGCCTGGGTGACAGAGTGAGACTCCATCTCACAAACAAACAAACAAACAAACAAAAGAAACAAAAAGCATGTAGTACCCTGGAGAGCCCACAGTGAGAACTACAAATGCTGGACACTACAAAGAGACAAGTGACTCTGGAATGCACCATTTGAAATGCACCATTGAAAAACCCTAGTTTTCTAGGATTATTAGAAAACGAACTGATGGTATGTGATATATGACTCTGGAAAGATTGGAAGGTTTGTCTGCACCATGCTCTCTGTTTAGCAAGTTTTCCTACTATAATTTTTTGTATTTTAACTTTTTATTGACATATAACATATCTACAAAATGCAGTGCTCTCTTTTATTTATGTGCTTCTTTCTATTTTTGGGGTATATCCTTTTAAAATCTGAAATCAGTACAAAACTAGATATTCAGAGCCATCACAATTTTGTATAATAAACAGAATTATATATTTTAAAATACCATGTTGTGTACAATAAACATATATATAATTTTTATGTGTCAATAAAAAATAAAGAAAAAAATTAGGTTTATAAGTGTATAGAAGAAAAGGCATCATAATATAAGCAGCGATTTTCTCTGCGTGGTAGGATATTGGTTGCTTTCTTTTTTTTTTTTTTTTTGAGATGGAGTTTTGCTGTTGTTACCCAGACTGGAGTGCAATGGCATGATATCGGCTCACTGCAACCTCCGCCTTCTGGGTTCAAGCAATTCTTCTGCCTCAGCCTCCCCAGTAGCTGGGACTACAGGCGTACACCACTATGCCCAGCTAATTTTTGTATTTTTAGTAAAGACGGGGTTTCACCAAGTTGACCAGGATGGTCTCAATTTCTTGACCTCGTGATCCACCCGCCTCAGCCTCCCAAAGTGCTGGGATTATAGGCGTGAGCCACCGCGCCCGGCCAGTTGCTTTCTATTTGTGTTATTTTTCTTTTTCCTCAGATTTTATTTAGTTAATATGTTTT